TCCCCGGTACCAAGGCCGACATCTACACCTGAAAAGCAGAGGACAACGGTGAATTCGATAGCCAAGATCAAATCCACCCTTCCACCGCAGGTCAAGTGAAAGGGCGACAAAGGCGGGAGAACGACGAGCGAGTAGGCGCTCCCCGCCGCTCCTCCACGGGGCGTTCAAAGGCCAACTTATCATCCCTCCTCGGGATATTTATCGGAAAAGGCGCGCGTCCCCAGGGCGTTCATCGGAGAAAGCCCCCGTCCTCGGGACATTCACCGAAACAACCAATTCTCCCCGGGGCATTCATCGGAACTGACCCAGAAAACCGCCAGATACGGCGGAACTCGCGTCTCTCCTTGGGGCATTCATCATGCCCCGACCACAGACCCTAATTAAACGGCGGAAATAAAAGGAGAAGAGAGAGAAACTCACTTGTAACGGCAGCGAACGGGAGGAAGAACTAAACGGCGTAGCGGCGATCTACAGCGACGGCGGACGAGCAGGAATCTCAGAGCTTCGCAGGTAAGACAACAAGGTGGAAAGTAGAAAAATGAGCGGGGACCCCCATATTAATAACCCGGCGCGGGACTTGAAGCGACACTAGGCTCTTAAATGACCTAGGGTAGCCGCCCCTACTACCACTTAACGTGCGACACGTGGCGGTAACCTGACAGTCGCGTTCTTTCACATGCCTTTGCCCCGCTCCACCGACGATGAGGAGACCCTCGCACAAGCACGCGTTCCACCGAGCACAAACCCGACGAACCTCCCGCTTCGCTACCTCTCTCCCCGACGCAGCGACCTTAAGTCCTCGCTCTTTCACCACAGAGCTTCGACTTAGGGGGCTCCTGTTCTGGTCTGGGCCCGGCCTCGCGATCCAGCTCAATAACGCACAAGGCCCATTAAGTGGACTAGCCTGACCGAGCACACACCCCCATAGGACGGGCAGGGCACGCCCCCCGCCGGGATGGACGACACGTCCCGTAGCGTCTTCAACGCCCCCTTTGTCGACCGAACAGGGCACCCCGGTCCTTCGAGCAAGACCACATGGCTCTTCCGCGTCTGTGTATGCTCCCCTCCGCGGGGAGAACAACGCCTTCCGGGGAACCTCGCGAGCTCTCTTCCGCGGGGAGGACAACGTGCCCGGCGTACGTTCTCCACGTGCCCCCTCCGCGGGGACACGTCACCTAACCAACTGCCCACCTCCGAAAGAGTAGGTCAAACCCACTTTCCGGAGATCACGGGATGGTTGGACTAGGGCGAAGACCACGTTCTGGTCTTCACTACGCCACGTAAGCCCTAACAGTCACCTGGGTTGGGCCTGACAATCCAGCCCAACGCAAGTGACCGTTGGCCCAGCGCTGGGGTCTCTCTATAAATACCCTCTTCCTCAAGAGGGTCAGGTAATTCACATCTTGCCCTTTCGGTACTTTGCTCTCACTTTGCCCAATTCCTTACTTTGGCATCAGAGTGTCTTGCAGGTACACCCCCTTTTTCCTCCTCATCACCGGTGAACAGGTAGCAGTCCAACAGCGTGTGGCCAGCCCGTGATCCCCTTCTGGTCAGGTCATATCACATTTATTTTTATTTTTATTATTTTTATTTCTATCATTTTGGCTAATTAAAAAATAATTTTAATAAATAAATTAATCACTTTTCTAACAAAAACCTTGATCAACATCAAATATTCTCAAAATAAAACTTAAACCTTTTTATCAAATTCAAACGGTTTTCTAATGCGAACCAAAATGCGTAATCGCTAAATTCTTTTCAAACTTAAGCACCTTCGTCAAAATATTTTTCTTAATAAGATCAGAAGTAAGAGGACATTGGAGTTTACACTTCTAGAGACCTTGAATAATCGGCCCCGAGGCACACATTTTGGTTTTACCGAGCATTATTCTTCCGCAATGAAACACATAATCAAAACTCAAATGAAAAGGGACATTAGAGTTTACACTCCTTCAAACCTCGAATAGTCGGCCTCGAGGCACACTTCTTTGTCTTACCGAACCTTCGTCCTTCACAAATAAATTTCATAAACACCTTGGATGAAAAACGGGACATTGGAGTACACAATCCTTGAAACCTTGAATAGTTGGCCCCGAGGCATACATCTCGGTTTTACTGAGCATTCCTCATCCTCTTAAGAATATACTCAACCCGTCAAACTACCTTTTACTCACCTTCGCACGATCAAAAACCTTTTCACAAACAAACTGTGTTTTGTCCGTTCTATCGCAATACAAACAAACGCTTAAGTTTCCACCGTAAGCATAAATGCAACATTTAACCGCTAGAATGCAACCTAAATATTCATTCACTAAAATCAACCAATAAATATGTGATTTTCTACCAAAAACTACATAGCTTTGAGTTTCCCATCGCACCTGGGGATACGTCGGAGCGAGATTCAACGTATAGTCAAACAATATAACAAAAAACCCAAAAACATCTTTTGTCTTACTCAGAACTATGTAGCTTTGAATTCCTCATCGCACCTGAGGATACGTAGGAGCAAGACTCACAATCTTGTCAAGCGTCCTAATAAAAACCTTTTTTGCGACATTTTCCTTTTTGTTTTAAACTTTTTAATAATTAGAAGAAAACAAATAACAAAAGCTAATATTCTATTCGCAAATCAACTAAATGGTTTCTGTTTAGTACAAAGATGTAAGGGGGTGCTAATACCTTCTTTTCGCATAATCGACTCCCAAACCCGAATTTGATTGTGACGACCACTTTCTTTTCCTTCTTAGGATTTTATCGATATCCCCTCTTTCCTATTGGAATAAATAAAGTTCGGCGTCAACTTTGTTATCATCTCGAGTGTGCAGACGCATGCGGTAATTTTTTTGCGCCGTGATAGATGGGTGACACATTATTTTACAGAGTGGTACTCAAATATCCCACACTGTAGATGTGTGTGTGTGTGGGGGGGGGGGGGGGGAGGCTCCTTGACGACAATCTTGAGGTCGTGTACAACTAATATCACTGCCACTAAAGTCATATGGAGTTGAACTATGGTTGTAGTAGGAAGGAAGATGCCTCATTGGCAACACTTGAGCTCTTGACGGCTGCGAACCGTCATTAACAAGAGCTTCCATGAAATAACTCTATAGTGACCACATTGCAAAATCTCTAACTGTATTGCAATCTTAGTTGAAATCTTCTCCTGAATTATTTACATGTGAATGAACCTCACATTTTGTTGCTACAATATGTTGAAAATGTTTAACAAAAGCTCATTAGTATTTGGTACACCTAATAGAGTTTAGAGGTGTTAGAGAAGATGAATGATGGAGGAACTAAAATGTGAGGTTATAGTGGAGGAAGTGAATCTTGAGGTAGATGAATATGGATATGTGGTGAAGAAGCATGATGATTCTCTTAAATTGGTGGTTGAGGAATCATAGATGAAACATATATGAAACATAAAGATCTTCATTGACGACGGGACTAACTAGATGAGTGTTGTCTTGAAGAATGTGAATAGTTGATTCGAGATCATTGATGGCACTTTGAGTGTGAGTTGATTTCAACCCGAGCATCTGGAAGAATAGTTAAAAATGATTAAGAAACTTTTATAGATGCTCGAAGTTGAAACAAAAATAACTACTTTCCACATAGCAACTGAGGAAGTTTGAGAAAATCAAAGTGAAATTCGACATAATCAAAATATAATTCCTATAGACGACATTAATTTTCTACAATGGAACATAAAATATATAATATGCTGATGATAAGCATCATGGTAAAGCTTCTAGGTGCGATGATTATGGTTTTTCACTAATCAGATGGGGTATCTACAAAAAGTTAGCACTTTGACGTCAAAGTCAATGTATAAATGAGATGAAACTTTACAAGTATGAGTAAAAGAATATCTGAGTGTGATTCATACTCACATATATTGAGAAGACAAGTATAATTATCTTCTATCTGTCGTGGAAAGCTGTTGGATGCATATCAATAGTCTGGATGGAAGTAGGGATAAACTTGTATACAAAGCATATAATTGAAGGTCCACATGATCCTTAGAGATTGTCGCACCCTAATTGGATCAAATCTATAAATTGAGCCAATTTTCATAGACTATTGTTCAGCTCAAAACTTTATTAATTTGAGGACGAATGTAAGGCTCGCTAACCAACCTTAAAGATATGCTTAACAATCTCCTTATACTAATTTGTTTTGGTCAAATATTTTATCCACTTAAGACAACCTCCTAAAATTTTATTTGAATTGATAGAATGTGATGTAATTAAGTGGTATGAAATGAAATAAAATAAAATTCTATCATTTAAATTAATAAAAATTGAACGAAACATATTTAAACAGAATAAAGTAATATCTATTTCATTCATTCAATTTCATCACTTACCACTAATTTTTTCCTCAACAACTTTGATTTATCTTAAAATATCCAAACAATAAAATTAGACATTAAATCCGCCCCGTTCCGTCCCACTTATTTCCATTCCCATGCAGTCGTTTTAAAATATCCCAACATAATTAAGGCTTACCAATAGTCCACCTACTTGTTTATTTGGGCCTATGATACCCATCTCCACGGGCTTGGGTATTGGAACCATCGCACACACATCAAACCACTTCGAAAGCGAAATCGTAGAAACAATGTGCACACAACGTTGAATCGTTTTCCGTTGCTACTTTCTTGCTTCCCATCTATCTGCTTCGTTCCGCTGAGTTGAGTTTTAGACGACCAAAACAAACCTATAATGGCGACATAGATAAACACCTAGAAACCGATTTCCAATTTCAATCGTAACCGTCAATTTCGTTGACTTCGGTACCGTTTTTCACACAATTCAATTTCATTGTCATATACCAAAACATCAAATACACATAGTATAGTTTAATTTTAATCGCTTTTCTCTTTGATTTGATCTACAGAGTGAAAAAAAGCGAAAGCAAAAGCGATTTTTCAAGAGTTTTGAAACCCTAGAGAGAGAAAGAGTAGTTTTTGTTGTGTGAATTGTGATGATCGTTCTATGATGATGAATTCATCGAACGGTAATATGAACCCGTCTTCTTCTTCATCGGGTCCTACACAGTCGCAAGGTCTCAAAACCTATTTCAAAACCCCTGAGGGAAGATATAAACTTCAATTCGAGAAATCTCACCCTGCCGGTCTTCTTCAATTCAATCATGGCAAAACCGTTTCTCTGGTTTTTCATTCAACTTCTCTTTTTCTTTTTTTGAATTTTAATTTAGTATATTTATTTGTTTACAATCTGTTTTGTTCAATTGTGTTTCTTCATATTTTTTTCTAGGGTTTGTTTTTTAGTTGTTTCTGATTTTGACTCAATTTTATGTTTTTGATTTCTCTTTTCTAAATTCGATTCCTGGCGATTTTGATAGTCTCAGCTTAGTCTTTTTTCACTTTCTGCATTAAGTTCTGTATGTAATTTTATTGTGTTCTATTATCTATAGCTATTTTGTAGAATTGGGTTTGGTCATGACTTGTATTGCTTTTTTAGATGAATTTTGTTGTGTTTTTTTCTTTTTTCTTTCTATTAGTAATTGTGGAGTCTATGGAAGTTGTATTAATATATGAGCACATTGTTGGTTTGATTGATGAGCAGGTAACATTGGCACATCTTAAGGAGAAGCCAGCGCCTTCAACTCCAACTGCCTCGTCTTCGAGTTTCAGTGCCAGCAGTGGGGTACGGTCAGCCGCAGCTAGACTGTTAGGAGGAAGTAATGGAAGCCGGGCGCTTAGTTTTGTTGGTGGAAACGGTAGTAGCAAAAGCAATGGAGTGACCGGTAGGATTGGTTCGATTGGGACCTCGAGTTCGAGTAGTTCTGTGGCTAATCCAAATTTTGATGGGAAAGGGTCTTACTTGGTTTTCAATGCCGGGGATGCAATTTTGATAAGTGATTTGAATTCTCAAGACAAGGTATAGTTGTTGGGTTTTGATGCGTTTTAAGTATTTTGGGTTAGCTTCATTCGAGGTTTGTTGTTGTGTGTAGGACCCCATAAAGTCTATCCACTTCAGTAATTCGAATCCCGTGTGCCACGCATTTGATCAGGATGCTAAGGACGGGCATGATTTGCTCATAGGCTTGTTCTCTGGCGATGGTAAATAAGTGTTAACTGATATTTAAGTTTGAATTTTCATTTCAGTATGGGAATTTAAGATTTATGAGTTTATTGTACCTGTGTATTATTGTAGTCTACTCAGTGTCACTGAGACAGCAATTGCAGGATGTTGGCAAGAAGATTGTTGGGGCCCACCATTACAACAAAGATGGTATTCTCAATAGCAGGCAAGCTTTGATGATCTCATCTATTGTGATATTTTAACTATGAGTGACGAGTGTTAGTTTTCTCACAATTGTTGCATGACCCTAAATTGTGCAAGGGGGAGGAGTACTTATTTCTATTAGTGTTGATGCGCGCACACACTCTCTCTCTCTCTCTCTCTCTCTCTCTCTCTCTCTCTCTCTCTCTCTCTCTCTCTCTCTCTCTCTCTCTCTCTCACACACACACACACACACCCAGCTGCCAGGGGGATTAGTTACTAAATGTGGATTGAATCACTATTGCACACACATTTTTTTTCTTTAGATTCTTGTTTGTTGATCGAGTGTGTCATGTCAGTTTATTAGAGTAGATAATAAGGGGAAAAGTAAGCTGTTAAGGTTGTCATTGAATGGTTGGACTTTGATAATTCTTGTACCCTGAATGTCACTCCATCATCAAAATGAATATGTTATTCATTGATTCTAGTCATAGTGGCTCTTAATGAACTGTGTATATGATCAATATAAGTTATGTAAGTTATATGCTAGTTTTCCGCAAACAAGGCCATTGCTAGAGTAAAGTAGTTGGTTGGAATGGTAGTGGACAGTTTTCTCTTATAAAATTTTTCTACCAAAACTTTTGTTTCTTAAGGGTTCTATGTGAGTGGTATCCTGAAGGTTAAAAAGCATATCATATCACTTTGTAGCTTGTATAATTAATTTGTTCCATAATCAAAATGAATAGGTTATTCATTTATTGTAGTCATACTGGCTCTTAATAATGAACTGTGTATATGATCATTATAAGTTATATATGATAGTTTTCCACAATAAGTAAGTTACATATCATATCACTTTGTAGTTTGTATAAACTTGTTGAGACATGAGTTTACTTATTACTTGAATGTACTTACCTTGACGGCATTCTCTGTTATATGAACAAAGGTTTGAATATAACCATGATTCGGCAATCCGTGTCATATAATGGTGGTGGAAGTATGTTTTCTAATGTTGGGCTTGTAGATATAGCCATGTTCATCCCTTGCTTTCTCTAAAATTTTATACAAAGAAATTTCAATATGGATTTTAATTGTATTTAGCATTTTGGTGAAATAAATGGTTATTCTCGCTGAGGATTTATTCTTTTTAAATCTTGGGATTTCTTATGTATTGGGTTGTTGATCAAGTCCAGAAGCTTGTTAGTTATTAGGTTAGATAAAAGCTAGGAATCAAGCCAAACATGAGCAATTGGTGTTTCTAGTTAATGGAAACATTAATTGTGTTTTAATACAAGAATGTTGATCTTATTGACTTCTATGGTTATAATTCTTGCGATTGAGTAATAGAAAAGTTAGATGCTTAGAGACTGTGATCTTTTATTAATTTCTCTAGGTCCCCCTGTTGGAATGTTATTATATCTTAAACACTAATTGGGATCTATCTTTGATGCATTTTGATTTAACAGTCGTTGTACGTGTATTTCTTGGGTGCCCGGAGGTGATGGTGCTTTTGTTGTTGCTCATGCTGATGGGAACTTGTACGTATATGAAAAGGCAAGACTTAGTTATTAAGAGAGAAGCTAGCGTTGTGGTTCCCTTATTTTGATATTTTTTATGGGGAGTTTATCAGCATAATTATTTACCCATTTTCTTTCCTATTTCAGAATAAAGATGGTGCCGGTGATACTTCATTCCCAATCCTCAAAGATCCAACTCAGTTTTCTGTTTCTCATGCACGGTACAGTAAGGTAATGACTTTGATATTCATTCTGTTTCTTGACAAAATGCTAATATGCTACTTCTATATATGTATGTGTTTTGGCTCTATTTTTTATAACCTTGCTGTAGTTAAATTTGTATTTTTTAGTAATAACTGTCTAGCTCTTTAATTATGCACCTTTCTCGCCGGTCATTTGATTGATTGCAAAATAACACATTTAAGGCATAACTTCTTGTTGTATGCCCTATCATTTATACATTTTTTTAAAATTGACTTTTACAGAGTAATCCTGTTGCGAGATGGCATATATGCCAGGGTTCAATTAACAGTATTTCTTTCTCAGCGGATGGGGCATACTTGGCAACTGTTGGACGAGATGGTATGTCTTTTATGTTCTCTATATATTTCTTTCTCATTGTATGTTCTCTATCTATCTCTTCTTCTCTGATTTATTTCTCCATGCATTCAGGTTACTTGCGAGTGTTTGATTATGCAAAAGAACACCTTATATCCGGCGGGAAAAGTTATTATGGTGGTTTATTATGTTGTGCTTGGAGGTGAGTTATGTATGGTTTTGGTCAATTTATTAGTGATTGGCATGCTTGGATTTGTTGCTCATTTTTTCTCTCTAGAACTTGTAAAACAATGATACTTATCAAACTTATCGTATACTTAGGTTGTTATTATCTTTTTTTCTTTTTAAAATATTTTATACAAACTTTGAGAAAACAAACCCCATCACAAAAACCCTGCTTTGTCAGCATGGATGGAAAGTATATTTTAACGGGAGGAGAAGACGATTTAGTTCAAGTTTGGAGCATGGAAGATCGCAAAGTTGTTGCATGGGGTGAGGGACATAGCTCGTGGGTAAGTTGCTTGGTAATATTGAGTTTGCGAATTATCCTACCATAATGTTGATTTAGTTTACATCGAATGCTGTGACAGGTAAGTGGAGTGGCTTTTGATTCATATTGGACATCACCAAATTCAAATGACAATGGAGAAACAATTATGTATCGATTTGGTTCAGTTGGTCAGGTACCCGGACAAATATTTTCATTAAAACTTTCTCGTGTCACTGTAGCTTTTTCTCTGCTTAAAATTTTACAAATGATTACTTCTAATTGGCTTATGTTATGATTGACATATGGAAATGAGATTAGTGTATCTGCATATAGTGGTACAGTGGGAAATGGGATTACTTTTTTATGATTGACTGATTACTATTTGGTTTTGAATTTGTTGATATAGTGGTATAGTGGGAAATATTCAGTCATGAATTTCAAATGTTTGGGTCTTGGACTGGTTTATAAGAAAGGGAAATATCTTTAACATGCTTAGTAAGCCGCCATGGAAATGGAACCTGAAGTAAAAATCATTTGATTAGGAAAACTTTGCATAGATGTTTACTGGACATAATATATTGTAGTTAGATGTTTTAGCAGGTTTCATATGATGAGGGGGGTAGTGCTCTTTTTTTTATTTTTTATTTTATGTTTTTATTTTAGAGAGTTTTATATTCAATAATGCTCTAAAAAAATGATTGTGATTAGTTGTTAATTTTAAAGATAACATATCATTTTATTCCTTTCATTCTTAAAAGTTATTAAATTAGAATTTTTTTACTTGAAATACTAATTTATTTCTTTCATTCTCCTACAAAAACCCTTCATCTAGACATACTTTCATAATGCATCTACCAAAATAAGTTAATGGTAGTATTGTCTAGAAAACTGATGTTGGTAAGATAGTTGAATCCTCTCGTTCCCAACTAAGATGGAGCGGGAAAAGGCATATCTGTCTGTACTGTTGCTTCATTTATAATATGAGGCCTTATAGTCATAATCAGTTGCAAGTGACTGTTATTGTTTGGAGATCTACATTGAGTTGTTTACTTTTTGAAAATAGGCTTGTTCTAAAGTTTCTCAACATTTTGTCTATGGATATGTGCCAAACTCGAACTAAGATATTATGTTGGCCAGGATACACAATTGCTTCTATGGGACCTGGAAATGGACGAGATTGTAGTGCCCTTGAGGCGTCCCCCTGGTGGATCCCCAACTTTTGGATCCCCGACTTTTAGTGCTGGAAGTCAGTCATCCCATTGGGATAATGCAGTCCCATTGGGTACCTTGCAACCTGCTCCAAGTATGCGGGATGTTCCAAAAATCTCTCCGCTAGTTGCCCACCGTGTGCATACCGAGCCACTTTCTAGCTTGGTATTTACCCAGGAATCTGTACTTACAGCCTGCCGGGAGGGACACATCAAAATCTGGACAAGACCTGGCATAGCCGAGAGCCAGCCAAGCAACACCGAAACTCTGTTAGCTACCAGTCTCAAGGAGAAGCCTTCACTTTCTAGCAAGATCAGCAGTTCTAGCTACAAACAATAACTAAATCTTAATCTAAAGGGAGTTTTAAGCAATTTTTTTTTATGGTTTGTTTATCTTTTTCCGGGCTGGTTTAGTTTTAACATCTTGATTTAAGTAAAAGATGAACCAGCTAGTTTATTGTATATTCAGTTATTAACGGATGAGCATGCCATTGATAGAACTAAGAGGATGGGCGGGAGAGTTCTCTCCGACCGCCTCCTGTAATTACAAAACGGCTGTTACTAGGATATCTGATTAGTGATTACAGGAATAATGTGAAATTGGTCCTTGGAGATCGGTACTTTTGAAGTGCATACACACAAGCAATTATTTGTTGTTCTTACTTGTATACTAAGCAACTTGTATTGCACAAATCTGGGAAGTGAACTGTGTTTGCTGTCAAGTCATTCTTGAGACTAGTATTTTAATGTTTCCAGTGAAGTTTTGATCGCTTAACGGTGCATGTCCTAAAATGTGATTGAATATATATGATTGCTTATGGTATCAAAATTTCACAAGAAAAGGTTAAATATATTTTCGATCACAAAGTTGGTCAAATTTGATCTTAGCTCTATAAAATTATTATTTGTTTTTAGTGCTTGCATTTAGAATGTGTTCTCATTAGCAGTTTGGTACTACTTTACAGTTTTGTTTTATTCAATTTAATAGATCAGAAACAATTGTTGGCAGCATTATAGTAATCCAAAGTGGTATCTCACGTAATTGACTTTGAAAAACATGGCCAATATCAGAAACCGTCTCTTTCAAATCTGAAGTATATGGGATATATGCATTTTTATTTGACCAAATGTGACCGGTGTCTGGTAGTAATTTCGCTCTCACTATCAAACTATCCAAATAATATTAGTTTCCTTATTTGCTGTAAAGATTTTACAACTAAATAGACTGGGAGCGTGCATGAGCACGGTGAGCCATTGTTTTCTTAACCAATATTAGATTAGTTGACCATAATTAATTTAGATATAATTAGTTAATGGAGTCTCTTAACTTTGAGCGAAGTTTTGCTTTGATTCATGAATTAAAAAATATTACATACTGATCTTTTAACTTAAGTTTCACTAAAACTTGATCCCTTCTGTTAGTTTGTGTTAAACGTTGGTTTGTGTGATACTGATCTTTTAACTTAAGTTTCACTAAAACATTTGATCCCTTTTGTTAGTTTGTGTTAAACGTTGGTTTGCGTGAGCTAACATGTCAAGTAAGCAAATTTATGATTTCACATCAACTCATTGTATATGTTATGTTACATAGAGTTCTATTTGGTTGTAGCTTCATTCTTCTTCCACCAAGTGTGCTTCAATCGTCTTCCATATTTCCAACTTCTTCCATCTTCTTCAAATCAGGGTTAAGTCCCTTTCTTCCATCTTCCTTCTACCATCTTCTATTTTCATCTCCAAATTAGGAAATTAGGGTTCAATGTCAAAGATTGCGAGCAATGCCTCAATTTCAAACAACCAAAGCTATGGTACATCTGGATCTGTGATTCGTAGAAACAAGAGTCTCGAATGCTTCTGACAAAGGGGAAAGTGTTTTTAGAACAGTGAATGATGTGAACAATGTCAACCAGGGGAAAAAATTCTGGGGTTGTAGAAATTACAAAAATCACATTGAAAAGGGTTGTAATTTCTTGAAGTGGTTGGTTGATGAGTTTGTTGATGAAAAGAATTTGAAGCTGGAAAGACAAAAGAAGAAAATTAACAAATTGAAGAATGAAATTATCTACACTAGAGGGTGACTCAAAATGTCCATTGTGGTTGAAATTGTAAGCCTAGGGTTGAACCTTGAGTTTGTAACAATGTATTTCAATTAGTTTTAGGGTAGTTCAAAGTTATATTTTCACATTTTCAATGTTTTGTCAAGTTTTTTTAATGAATAATGTATTGTTATGTTGGTTCAATGAATAATGTATGTGTTATGTTTTCACATTTTCATTGAATAATGTCTCAATATTTAACCTGTTAAAAACGCAGCCCAATGACTAATATTTATGGACACAAACTGTAATATAACTTGACATTATAAGCCATTTCAACTTTCATTAACAGATCCAAAGTTTAATACACAACAGGTTAAATAACAAAAGGCCACATTATAAGGCATTACATAACAGGTTCAATAACAAAAGGTCATTATAAGGCATTACATAACAGGTTCAATAATAAAAGAGTCAGGTCATTGTTAATAGGACAAAATGTGCCTTACATAATGACATTCCAAAATGTGCATTAACAAAAACAAAAGAGTCAGGCCATTAAATGACATTACAAAATTTTAGTAGACATAATAATAATGATAAAGGTTTGCTTAAAACAGGCTTGCCACCCTTATGAAGTTTTTTTTTTAGTTTTGGGTGGTGGCTGACTTGTAACAACAGGTGGTGGTGGTTGACTTGTACCAGCTTGTGGTGGTGGCTGACTTGTAACAACAGGTGGTGGTGGTTGACTTGTAACAACTTGTGATGGTGGCTGACTTGTTGCATCTTGTACCTGACTTGAATCAACTTGTGATGGTGGCTGACTTGTTGCTTCTTGTATCTGACTTGGAGGAGCTTGTGGTTGTGGTAGTTTACAAATGGCCTTGTTGTGACCATCCTTGTGGCAACGACTACCCCTGATACCATGTCTTGCCCTCTTCATGCGTGTCTCATCCCTCACCATCTCTCTAGCTTTCCTATTCTTTTTTTTTTCTTTGGTCTTCCAAATTGCTTCTTTATTGGTTGTGGCTGAAGATCAACAACATTAGTCTTTGCCCATAAGGCTTTCCCATTAAGTGGAGATATAACATGTGCATAACAAGCAACATATTGTTCCTTCTTGTAACATTCAGGTACAAAGTCATCAATCTCTAAATGCTGATCCTTTATGCAAGACATTGCATGACAACAAGGAAGTCCAGTCAGCATCCATAGTCTACATGAGCATTCTTTCTTGTAAAGGTTGACAATATCTTTTTCTCCATTGAGTGAAGTATGCCTCACCTCATTGTCATATTCACCTGTGCGCCTGTAAACAAGTAACAATTTTAATGTTAGTCTATTTAAACAGTTAGCCATTTGAAGGCTTCTGACATATTTTTAACCAAAGTGTCACAACTTGAACTTGGCTGGAACCTTGATTTGCTCCAGAGTCTTGGTGGAATTTTGATGAGATGTTTGAAGGTATCTTCATTAACTCTTTTGATTTCAAGCATTATTTTCTTCCAAGCATTAACATAACTTGCACTTACAACCCTCCACATCAATTAATTTCAGGCCAGGGAACTTTTTCTTGAAGTTGCTATACAAATGTCTGCAATATAAAGTAAGTGTAAACCAACTAGGTCATGCAAGTAATTCAGAAGAACTAAGTATGTCATATTCAACATGTAAGTAAACATAATACCTAACACAAAATCTTTGGTCAACATTACCAAGTAATTCATCAAGAGTTGGCAGTAAACCCTGCATCCATAAATAAGTAAGAATGATGGTGAAAATAAAACAATTGGCTAACAGTTAAATTTCAAGTTGAGAGTTTAAAACCTTTTGTTGATCACTAACGAAGGTGTAGGTTCTGCACAACCTGACTCCTCCCAAATCAGGTATTAATAGCTCTAGAAACCAAATCCATGAGTCTATAGTAGGGTAACCTAACTCTCCTAACTTGTCAATAATCAGGATCAACATCCCATATCTCCTCTAACCCTACATAACCTGACTTGATAAATTTTACAAACTCCCTAAAAAAACTCACCAGAATGATGAACAACACACTTAAACCTACTCTCCATGACCTAATCAACCTACATATAGTATCATAAGTACTAAGTAAGTTAGGTATAGAATAAAATTAACATTTTTAGTTACGTATTTGTGCAAGTTTGTACCTTAGGGTTTTTTCTGCAGACGAATGAAAGAACAAAGTTCTCCTTCGTTCTTCTTCAATGGAGGGTTGCTGTCGTAAACGTTGCTATCGTCGTCTTCAATAAACTTCGTCTTCAAATAAGTGTTGTTGTAAACAATGTATCTGCTATCATACTTTCTGAACCTGAGCTTTCATCCAACAATGTAAGTATGCCCTAATACGTTTCATCTTCTTAAAATAGATATTAAGTGTAATATAGATTTCACCTAATCCATTAAAATAAATAGAGAATATCCACCTAAGTCATTTTAAGTACAACAATGCATATTCTAACGTTTTTCCAACTAAAACTAACAAAAATGACTAAAATATATAACGAAGTATAAGTTAGTGGACCATAATGCAACGTTTTTTTCTTAAGGGACCAAAGCGAAACAATGACTAAAGTTAAGGGACTAAAAGAAGTATTAATCCATTAATTTATGATAATAGTGTTTGCATTGATAGTAGTGACAAACAAACAGCGAACACCGAAGTAATCACTGACAACTAATTAATGAATAATAATGTACTCCCTCCATCTCCAAATTTGTTTTAGAGGTTCGTTCGTGAGTGCGTGCGCGCACGCACGTGTGTGTGTGGATCAACTTACTCCAAAAGTAAGTTTTTTTTTAAGTTACTCCAAATCATAGCCTTTGAATTGAATCCAATCTAATGACTAATTAAATATAAGGATAATCTAACTATTAGATTATATTCAATTCAAAGGCTATGATTTATAGTAAGTTAAAAAAAACTTACTCTTGGAGTAAGTTGATCCCCAATATATATATATATATATATATATATATATATATATATATATATATATATATATATATATATATATATATATATATATATATATATATATATATATATATATATATATATATATATATATATATATATATATATATATATATATATATATATATATATATATATATATATATATATATATATATATATATATATATATATATATATATATATATATATATATATATATATATATATATTTCAAAATTAAACTTTATGTAAAACTATTTAAAATAATTTCAAATTTAAGTGATTTTATGAAATTTTGATATTATAATTTATATTAAAAAAGTTACA